CACACACACACACACACACACACACACACACACACACACACACACAGTGACACTAAACAGAAGTTAGGGACACCACACAGATGCTACTGTTAGCACATCTATACAGCAGTGGCTCGCATCTCTGTTTCTGGAGCAGCTCAGCACCGCACACCTCACCCGTCTCTCTCTCAAACATCGCTCATTAGCAGAGAGAAATCTCTAACATGTGTCCTGCTGAGGATCTCCAGCACCTGCTAAAGCAGGCATTACATAAAGATCACCGATGGTTGATATGCCAAACTGAGCTGATCTGGGTCAAGTCAGTCTTTTAGGGGCATCCGTTCTGCAATCTCTTACCTTACGACTTCATTTCCGTGGGTTAAATCAACCATCTATTTCACAACTTCAAATGGTGCAAAATTCTGCAGCTTGACTTCTGTTGGGTGTACGTAAATGTGAACATATTACCATGATTTCAATGTCTCTTCATTGGCATCTTATCTGTTATATAACTGATTTTAAGATACCTTTCTTTGTTTTCAAACCCTTAACTGGACCGGCACCCACTTACCCACTTAGGACTTAATTTCTTTCAGTGTTCACTAAAGACAAGTTAGGTTTATGCAGCTGGTTCTGGTGTGTGAAGTGCATGAAGTCATTTTGCTGCCCAGTGCAAACAGCTCTGTCCGGTGGCTAATGGGGAGAGGTTACTTCACAATAATTACTACACTTGTGCAGCATGACTTCTCACTCAACCATGCTCTGGTTCCATCAACCAATTATAATCCTCTCCAAAACAAAGGCAAAGATGCCACTACACAGTGATGAGAAAGGCTGCTACAGTGCTAACATATAGCATCAGCACTTCTGCTTCAGAGAACTTCTACTGAAAAGGACTTAAACAATTCGTTTCAGTTAATAAGGCTGCATTGCAAACAGTCCTTATATCTCAGTTTGACTGCATGAGCTGCTCTATTTTTATTTGTCACGCTTGGCATTGTATTTGTTAACACTGGTATGACCAGGATTTCTGCGACAGGAGCTCGTTCCTGAGTTCTGTTCCTCCAGATCATGTTCTTATAGTTTTCTGCTGTATCAGTCTGGGAAAGGCAACACACACTGTGCTCTGGTGCTCTATCAACAGATCTCGCCTAATTCAGCAGAATGCAGCAAGAACCTCTGGTTTCTCCCCAAACGCTCACGTCTCTTTCCAGGCTGTTTGTTTGACTCGGGCCCTTTAAAACGGTTTTCTCCACTTCTTCACTAAAATCTGCAGTCCTGATCAGCAGTGTTTACTGGAATATTTCTGAAGCTGGGAAATATAACATTGACCTGTCAAACTGAGAAAATGCACTTTGACATTTCCATTATTGCTCCAGATCCTGATGTTTAATTCATGCAACATACACGTTACACAATATAGACGATGTGCATATATTACATAAAGAATAATTGACCACATGCTGTTGAGTTATTGAGAAATAATGTACGGACCACAGTACTTCTCACCGTGACCGCATTACTAGCCAGTGTGCATTACTGTTCAAGAATTGAATGGATCAGAGTCAATTATGTTTGCACTTCTAGTTTTCTTCTGATGTTGAGTGGCCGAGGAATATAACGTCACCTCACTGTACTGTCGGTTTCTGCAAATGTGTATTATTGCATTCATAGATGGAGCAAGTTTATTGGCAATGGTCCCTGATTGGGGACCTGCCTTACTCCAGGAGCCTTTCTATTTGTCAGCAATCATTTGGCTTTTTTCATTTCCTCAATAATTGGTTTGCCATCAATAATGCATTACAAATACTTCTTTGAAGATGTTAGTGAGGAGCCCGCAAAAATTAGAAATACATTATCTGATGTTCAGATGGTTTCCATTTTACAGTGAGCTTCACAAAAAAAGCTTTTTTAACTTTAATAAAGTGACGCTCTCTGTCTTAAGTGCTCTTTTTAAGTTCATGGTAAGTAATCCATAGAGCATCATGAATATTAAGAAATGCAAATGTATAGACGAACATAAACTGATGTTGTCAAGAGATCTTCATTGTTAGTTTGTTAGTGCATAGTTGTAATTCAAGCTATGAATATAAAGAAACCTGTAAAAGTTAACATTAACCAATATTAAGTGATGCTATATACAGATCTTGCTCACTGTTAGTTCATGATAACGAATGCACTAATTAATGTGACCGAATGCCTTTAAAACTCATGAGACTTCTTAGACTCCTTTGGCCAAACAGAGTCGAATGATACCCAGCATTCCTATGTCTGTCCAGTTTATTCAAAGAAACAAGCTCATTTCACACAGACATGACTGAAAATTCATTGCACTTAGAAGAAATGCTATGTGAATTCAAACGGTCACAGCACAGGGTTAATATGCAGGAGATCTGCTAGTGTTTCATGTGCTGCCACGCTTTTCTTTAGTGGGCTCAAAGGAAATAAGTTCACAGTACTCATAAATACTGCTTTTTAAATGTACATGATGTAAGGCTGCCCAAAATGAAACTTGTGTTTTACAGTGTGTCGGCCATTTGCAATTTTGCAGTAAAATGTAGTATGTAATACAGTAATACAATACAGTAGACTGTGGTATGAAGAGAGGAACATCCTTCAGTTCTGAGGTTTAAGTGTAAATGTGAGCTGTTCTTTACCTCATGATATATGGATGGCTTGGACAGGGATGGGATCAGGAACGATAACAGCTTGCTGTTTCCATCTTTATCCACGATTTCCTGCAAAATAAACAATAACGGGTGTGAAACAATAAGATTGTCTTGAGTAGTTTTTTTTTTCCTTAAAAGCTTTTATTTGTTTTTTTACATTAAATTTGTTGGTATCAATATTACATTAAATGACCAACTCCTGCATTTTTCCTTTTTTTTTAAAGCTACTAATATAACAGGGGTGTGTAGACTTTTAATACCCACTGAAGTATATATCACCTTATAAGAGTGCATGTGTGTATGAGAGTAAAGCAGGATGTGCTGTATGCATCAAACATTTAATACAGAGCTGGGCAAAAATACAGTTTACTGTTTACTCGGGGGTTAAGATTTGCTAGATATTACATACTGCATACTGCAGTTAAATGATGCATAGAAGCGACAGGGTTAAAATTTCAATCATATCAGCACCCCTAAGCCGTATCAAACAATTAGTCTAGAAAGAATGTTTCCAGTTTAGAGTTTGATATAGGTAAGGTCTCTCATGTTGGCAGACACACGACACACTACAGAGACACAAAAACATGCTCTCACGCTGCTGATAGTCTCGTGGGCAGTAGGGCTGTCAAAATGGCTGAAAAACGAAATTTGTATTTTGCACTTAAATATTATCAATATTCGAATTATATTTCAATTTAAAAGGCATAATTTCAGATAGGGTGGAAAAAGCTTTTGGCTTCTCTCATGAGGCCACAAGAGGGCGCATCGAGCAAAATATTACTAATTCACGTTTAATAAAGCAATAAAATAACATGACTATCTGTGAAAAAATTGCATAATGTTTATAAACCAAATATAATTAAGTTGCTTAAACAATTATAAACAAAAATGCAGCATATATGCATAGTTTAAAACAAAGGGATGAAAGCCAATCACACAGAGTACTTTTTTAATTTAAAGGGTTAGTTCACCCAAAAATGAAAATTAGGCTGTGTTTTACTCACCCCCGAGGCATCCTAGGTGTATATGACTTTCTTCTTTCAGACGAATCCAGTTGGAGTTATATTAAGAATTGTCTTTGATCTTTCAATCTCTATCATTGCAGTCAGTGGGTGTTGCATGCATCAGTCCAAAAGAAGTTAAATAAAAAGTGCCCATCCATAAAAAAAAAAGTGTCTCACACGGCTCCGGGGGGTGAACAAAGGCCTTCTGTAGCGAATCGATGCGTTTTTGTAAGAAAAATATCCATATTCAAAACGTAATAATCACTTTAATCTAGCTTGCGCTCACTGTTGTAAACCGAAGCAGCTCCAGAAGGATGACGTATAAGGTCAGCGTTGCGCATGCGCCGGTGAGTCTCGTGAAAACCAACGTTTGTTAACAGGAGCAAAGGAAGCAAAGGTTCCTTTCTTTAGCAAAGCAAAAACCAGTCTCCTCTTGGCTTATATCGAAATCCTCCGACATTCTTCTTTACAAATCCTTGTTTTGTACTTCTAATTAGTGAGCGTTGTTTTGTTTTGATCTCTCCGCTGCGCTTCCGCGTTCGTCACTTCTGAGCGGCGCATGCGCAACTCTGACCTCATACCTCATCCTTCTGGAGCTGCTTCTGTTTACAACAGTGAGCGCAAGCTAGATTAAAGTGATTATTACGTTTTGAATATGGATATTTTTCTTACAAAAAGGCATCGATTCGCTACAGGAGGCCTTTGTTCACCCCCCGGAGCCGTGTGAGACACTTTTGTTTATGGATGGGCGCTTTTTATTTAACTTGTTTTGGACTGAAGCACTGCAACACCCGCTGACTGCAATGATAGAGCTTGGAATAGCCGGGACAATTTTTAATATAACTCCGACTGGATTCGTCTGAAAGAAGAAAGTCATATACACCTAGGATGCCTCTGGGGTGAGTAAAACACAGCCTAATTTTCTTTTTTGGGTAAACTAACCCTTTAAAAACATGAGATGCAGTGGGATAAATATAAAAAAATATAGTCTCGAGACATGTTTTTTTAAAAGTTGAACTTTTAATTTTACATGGCTTTCTAAACATGCGGCTCTCTTGTCCGAGACACGAGTGCAACAGTGATAAATGTCCCTCTAGAAAATGTGCAAAATATGCATTCTATGTGAACGGCTTGGTTTCAGTTTTGACGTAAACAACGTCAACGTCTTCTCTGCATTGATATTCTCTTTTTCCACAATATTTTGAATGAACAACACAGCAGCGCAGCATCTAGTGGCTTCAACTGGATAAGCTAAGAAAAACTTTAGGAACGTCATCTTTGGCTAGTTCTGGAGATTCTGAGTGCCCAGTACCCAGATATGAACACATGAATCATCGGAATTTACTCCTGGTTGGTCATTTCTCTTTCCCAGCCACCTGCTTCACATTCAGTAATAAAAAACCTCCCTTAAATTTACCCCAAAATTTAAAGCACTTTTAAATGAAGAGTAAGAGTTTTATTTTAGGAGATGAGGAGAAAACAAGAGTGCAGCGGGAAAATAAGGGAAGTAAATTACTACTATAGAAGATGAAACAAAAGTTGCAGCTGAGCGGTGCATAAGAGTCAACATCTGGACGTGCCACACCATCTGGAGATCACTGAGCCATGAGTAACAAGAGACAGGCAAATCAGCTGAATGTAAGAGATTTAATGCTGGATCCACCAACAGCAGTCATGTAATGCTTTCATCTACTGCCTCCATCACTCTCACAGTATTGTCAGGGCTCTCTTTCAAAGCTACTCTCCAGTTTTTATCATTCACCCAGTTCTCCCCTAACCTCTGACTCTCCATCTATCATCTCTCAGGGGTCTGATCATCTTCTCTTCTCTATCTTCTCTATTGAAAGGCAGCGGTCTTGTCGAAGATTTCTTGTGCAGTGCCTGTACCTAATCCTGCTGACCCCAGGGATCGCAAGCAATAAAGGCCAGCAGCGTTAACATCACATTTGATCAAGACATGAGAGAAACTTGTTCTTGAACAGCTTCAACACCTGGTGCGCTTAACTTTGGAGCCACTGCAGTTTGCCTATCAATTCAGTGTTGTATAATGCAGTCATCTTCCCTCTACAGCTGCAGATTGGAGGGTATTTACAGGGGTGTATGAATGAAACAACTCCATTAGACATGACGGCACAAGACCATGACGTGCTTTGAAGACCAAGAGTAGAGTTTTCAACTGTGTAGTACTTAACAGGGAGCCAAAGAAGTTTATGTCATATGGGCTTACTGGTGTGTGTGAGAGCACAAGCTGTAAACATTGAAGTAATGTATTGGGTAATCCAATTAAGAGAGAACTGCGATAATCTGATTGGGAAGTAATGAAGACATGAATAATTGTTTCAGTATCTTTACAAATGAGGGAGGACCAAAGACAAGAAACATGGAGTTGACAAAATGAGGACATGACCTGGTTAATATGGGATATAAAACTGAGCAAAGAGTCAAATGTCACTCCCAAATTTTGGGTGTGACAAAAAAGTTGGTGAGGGCCTAACCAAAGTAGATATAAGATGTTTGGGGCCAACTAACAAGATTTAGTTTTGTCAGGATTTAGTTTCAAAAAGTTAGCTGCATCCATTTCTTCAGACTATGAATACAGCTTTTTATGGAAGAATATGGCATAAAGTGAACGGGAGGTAATGTAGATTTGTGCATCGTCTACATATGGATGGAAATGTAAGCCATGCTCCTTAATAATCTCACCTACTGTATGTGTAGCATACAGATTAAAAAGAGAAGTGGCCCAAGAACCGAGCCTTGGGGAACACCTCTGAAAACAGTTTGGGATTTGTGCTTGTTAATTGAAATAAACTGCTGCCTAACCCTAACACAGGACTCCAGCCAATGGAACACACTGGCTGGAATGCCAATGGGGATAAAGGAGAGAGGTGTATTTCATGAGAAACAGCATCCAAGTTTTCACTAAAGTCACAACGGGTCTGCTGATAAAAGAAGGTAATTTACCAGCTTTAATAAAGCAGCTTCACTACTGTGTAGTGGGCAGAAACCAGCCTGAAAAGGTTCATGAAGATTTTTGGCAATTAGGTGTGAATGTAACTGTAACCACCTTCATATACAAACACCAAAACATCCAACAGTCCCTGTAAACATTCAGGGGTCAATACTGAGATAATCACACACCTGGGACTCTATTTGTACAAGAATTCTTATCCATTTGCAGAGATCCTCCGGTGTGTGTGCTGGGTATTGTTAAAGATGTTTTAGCATCTGTGAGAGCATCTGTTATTTTTATAAGCTGACACATATTGGGTGAAGGGAGAGACAAAAAGTAATTTATTAGGAAGGCTAGTTCTGTCCTGGGTGCTCTTTTCCCACTGTAGATGAGATAGAGAAGGAAGGATTGTAAGGAAGTTGTCCTCCATCATCAATTGCTCCACTCACCGTCTCCATTAAACAGTGCATGTTGAGTGACAGACTCATTCAAACATGCAGCTCAAAAAAGCAATACAAGAAGTTATTCTCCCATCTGCTGTTTAACCAACATCAGATATGGATGACTGGATACTGTGCAGTATTTTGTATTGTTTTGTTATGTAGAGCTTGTGTTTGTTATTGTGTTTTGAATGTATTTATATTTTGCACATATTTAAATGTACATATTGATGGCGTGCGTATGTGTATGGCATGGCTCCAGCGGCTGAATACACACCAGGTTGTAAATGCCCAGCAGAAGAGCCTCGATGCAGCCGCTGCTGTGTCCGTCTCTGCGCAGGTAAACCCACAGCAGCTCGGGCAGGAACTGCAGCGTGAAGCGGCGCAGACAGTCCTCTGAGCTGCGGTACAGCTCAAACAGCTGATGGCATACCGGCTCCAGCATCTGTGAACACAGACCACACAGATGATGAGGCACACAGAGGCTTCACTGTTGTTTATCTCTGTGCCGCCAGTCGCTCTTCTCACCTCACTGTCAGGGTCCTGGATGACGCTGTAGAGGGCTGGCACCAGTGTATTCTTCTGATCGAGGACTCCAGCGTAACCAGACAGCTGCGTTTCAGACAATGCCTGTGAGAGCACAGGCCCGTACAGAGCATAATTTAAAAAAGTGTGTTAATAGCAAACTAATTTAAAGAACTGTTCAATAACTCTTGAATAAACTGTATTAGGCTCAAGGTTCTGTCCTCTTAAATAAAGAAAGAAGTGCTTGAAACACACCAGTGTTGAGGAGAAGCTAGCTACAAGTAACAACGCTACTAACGTAACTACATTTTTCAGGAGCTTGACAGTAGCTCAGCTACTTTTTAAAGAATGTAGTTTTTCCAGTAGCTAACTACTTTTTCCAGCAAATAGCGGTGCAGCGCAACAACAGCTACATTCTATTTTGTGAGCCAGCAATAGACTGAAGCAGCGCAGCGTCTTAAAAGATCAGTTGCAGCGATAGCGATGCCTTTGCCCATATTAGGGATTTCCTGGAGCATCATGAGTTCTGTTACTTCTGTGATGCATATGTGGAGTTCCTGCGTGAGGGCCCCCACCGGCTACCAGCATGAATGAAACACACATTACATGTATTTAGGGCTCAGTAATGCGCACTCAGTCCTATTTTGGGCATAAGAAGGAAAAATAATAATTCTCTCTTAAAGGAGTCATATGATGCTTTTTTAAAGATCATTATTTTGTGTATTTGGTGTAACAGAATATGTTGACATGCTTTAATGTTCAAAACACACATTAGTTTTCAAATACTGTACATTATTGTAGGTCCTCTATGCCCCGCCTCTCTCAAACACAAAGTCCCTCCTTCCGACAAGCGCAGTCTGCTCTGATTGGCCAGCTGACCCAGTGCATTGTGATTGGCCGAACACCGCAAGCACTCGTCGGAAATGTAACGCCCCTTACTAGGGTTGTGACGGTGAGGACATTTTCCCACCGGTTAATCGACGTGTGACAACACCGGTATCACTGCGGGGGCGTTCCCTCTTTCCTCGCTTTCCTTTGCTTTTAAATAGCTTGTAAAAGCGGCGTGCGCATTTTACTTTCACTTTGAAATAGCGGCAATTCAGCGTAAAGCAATTGTTCGTTTTTAGTTCGTTTGAATTTTCCCTCTTTTCCTCGCTTTCCTTCGCTTTTAAATAGATTGTAAAAGCGGCGTGCGCGTTTTACTTTCACTTTTGAATTAGCGGCAGTTCGGCGTCAAAAAAGTTTAAATAAAGTAAAAATAAGCAAACAATGTGGAACCAATTAAATAAGAAATGAATGTTTAAATAAAACTTGCAAAATCACCTTAGATAAACGGCAAAAGTCAACAGACTTTTCAAAATCCAAAATATTGCCAAACAGTTGCTTTTGCATTTCGTTTCGAAACTAAATCATCCACGATCGTCTTGTCTGTCTCGCCTCACTCTTCTCGTTAGTCAGC